TATTGAGCTGGTCTTCTGGGGTGTTGGCTATTCCTGTCAGCTTAGTGCAGCGGTTCTCAACCTATGGGTCGCGACCCCATTTGGGGTCGAACGACCATTTTACGGGGGTCGCCAAACAATGCGATCCGCCATTTTTCCCCCTCAGGGGGCGGCGCCGCGCATGGGGGCGCCGCCGTGCATGTGCGCCACGCATGGGGGCGCCGCCGTGCATGTGCGCCACGCATGGGGGTGCCGCCTGCATGGGGCGCCACCGCACATGCACGCAGCGCATGGGGGCGCCACCGCACATGGGAGCGCCGCCGTGCATGCACGCAGCGCGTCCGTGTGACGGGGGTCGCCATCACACAAAGGTTGAGAACCGCTGGCTTAGTGTCATCCTCAAATTTGATGAGTTCCCTTCTATTCCCTCATCTAAGTCATTTATGAAGATATTGAAGAGTAGTGGGCCTAGGGTGGAGTCTTGTGGTACCCCCCTGCTTACTTTCCCTCTATTCCTCCCCCTCTGTTGAGGGAGGGGTGTTTAATTCTAACAAGGATGGATTCTTTCATCCCTCTTTCAAACCAACAGCCCTCTGTATCCTATATGTGCTGTACATTTAGCAGAGTCTGTATACTGTATACGACACTGGTATATGTCAAACAGATTCTACTTCCTCTATCTTCTGGTCTTTATCTTGGAAAGGTGGGTCATCTCAATCAGGCCCCACCCAAAGTTTCAACACACAGCGTCTTGGAAAGTCTGTGTCCTACTTGTGATGATGAGGGTTAAGCCTCACCATCCTGGACTCATCCATTGAAACATCAGCCTCTCCGTGACTGACTCCAGCCATCCCCTGCATAAAATGGGCTGCCGGTCAGCCAGTCACTCAACACTACTGAACATTCAGTCAGCTAGTAGCTGATTTTCCGTTCATTATCATGCGAGGGTCAAGCTTCCTTGCCCTGCCAGAAAAGGTATCATTAGCCAAATAAGAATTGTATACCATTAACTGAAAAGAAAGCAGAGGTGGTAAGAAATGGGATGGATTAAAAGCATCACGGAACTGAGCAACTCTAAAAGAGAAAAGAATATAAATGAAGAATTTCTTTTCTCTATTCTTCTTCTTCGTTTAAAAAAAGTATATTCAAATAAATACATGCATACTAATTAAACCATTTTCCTACTTGGAAGGAAACGGCTGAATCTTACATTTTACTTACTCGTTCAATTTGTATTCTCCAAGGACCCTTACATCCTACCTCTTCCTGCTGTCATCTCCACCTTAACAAGGACTTGCACAGGTTGAGTGGGGGAAGAGTAATTAGTCCAAATTGCTCTGCGAATTTCCAGGCTGATGACAAATCTGAGCCCAGAATTATGTCACTGCAACTACAAAGGTAAATCTATGAAGCATTTGCAGGTAGTCCTCGGCTAACAACATTTAGTGACCATCCAAACTTACAGCAGCATTGAAAAAAGTGTCCATTTAATCACATGATCAAAATCTGGATGCTTAGCAATCGACTCGTATTTACGACCGTTGCAGTGTCCCAAGGTCATGTGATTCCCTTTGGCGACCTTCTGACGAGTAATGTCAATGGGGAAGCCAGACTCACTTAACAACCGTGTTGCTAACTTAACCACTGCAGTGTTTCACTTAATAACCGTGGCAAGAAAAATGGTAAAATGGGGCAAAACTCACTTTAACAACGGTCTCGCTTAGCAACATAAACTTCAGGCTCAAATGTGGTCGTAAGTCGACTCCACTGAGAATTCGTTTCATTGCTACACAGCTACACACATGCAGATTGTCCCCAAGCTATGACTGTAAATTGAGCTCCACAATTATGTTTTTCAGTTGTGGCGATTTTAAAGCAGATCACATGACCAGATCCTTTTTTTTAATGACCTTTTTGGCAGCGGACATTAAATCAACATAGTTGGTTGTAAAGCGAATGCCATGGATGCTAGGCCAACTCATTGTTGCTATGACGGTGAGGGGGATGGAAGCAACTCAAGCTCTTGCAAGCTTTTGGAAAAGCTGGCAAAATCAAGGCTAATATAATATTGGAGGGAGAGGTGCAATGACCCCACCCAACACCTTGCAAAACAGACAAATTCAACAAAAGACCTTACTCTGTGGTCATTCGTTTACTTCCTGATGCAAACAAGGACAGAATCCACTAGATGCAGCATTAGTGAGTACATTTACTCCCTTTCTCCCCGCATCTTGCAAATTCTGTTCCCAGGGCTTAATAGTAGCAAAAGAGTATTTTTCAAGCTGGAGTTAACTACTTTGCTAATTATATTTATGGAAAGCGCAGGAGAAAAAAAAAACCTACGTTTTGCTCTGGTGCCAAGCCTACAGAAGAAAGGCTGATCCAAAGAGTTAGTAAATTGGAATGCGACAGTCAGACGCAGAAAAATATCAGCAAACGGAATACAAGACTCGTCGCCTGGACATCTGGTGCCCCTAGTTGTCGCCAGCAGGTCACCGTCTACTTGCCATCTCAAAAATATTTGGAGTTCATGCCCCATTTAGAAAGCCTACTAAGTGTCAAAGCTCCAGCAGATGGTACCACTGAGGTGATCTTGGCTGGCCAGGAAAATTCAACTGGTCTGCGCTGTTCAGTGGTTTTTTTTTGGGGGGGGGGGAATCAATCATACGTGATGGAACCCCAGGCTCAGTTAAGCATCAAAAGACAATCCCAAAGGATTGTCAACAGGCAACTGGGCTGAAGTTCTGAAGAGTCAGAACTGAAGAAGTTTTTGGGATGAGAAGAGAAACGTTTTCAAGGAAACAAAAAACAAGGAAGTCCAGTTGCCTTTTGAAAAAGCACCTTTGGGACAACCATGGCCTGGGATGACGGAGAATCTAGACCAGGGGTCACCAACCCCCGGTCTGTGGACCAGTACTGGTCCGCACCATGCCAGCAACTGGTCCGCACAAAGCCCCATCTGCGAGATGCAGGCAGCAGACAAAACCACACCTTCGGTGTGCAGAAAAACCTCTCTCCACGGAACCGGTCCCTGGTGCCCAAAATGTTGGGGACCTCTGATCTAGACCTTAAAAAAAAACCTCACCTCTCAGAAGAAAGCCATTAGGGAGAAAATAACACGAGACACGCCCGGGTCATCACCACGAGTGAAACTCCACGCAAAAAGAGACTGCAGATGGCCACCACCAGTCCCCAAACACTAAAGCAGTGGTTCTCAACCTGTGGGTCGGGACCCCATTTGGGGTCGAACGACCATTTCACAGGGGTCGCCAAACAACGCAGTCCGCCATTTTTTCCCCATTTTCCTTAGCTGTGCTACTTCCCTTAGCTGTGCTACTCTCTCTAATTCTATTGAGTCTAATTCTATTGGCTTTCAAAAGCCAATAGGAATTGTCCAGGCTGTCTCTGCCCTGATGAGCCCGCCAAAAGTCCCATTCTGCAAACGGTGCTGCACCAGTTGAGTAGTCCTCGACTTACAACCGGTTGAGTAGTCCTCGACTTACGACCGGTTGGGTGTCGCGGCATTAAAAAGGTTGAGAACCACTGCACTAAAGGAAGCCTGGTCCAACATGGGATAAACCTTTTCCTTCTCGTAATCTCTTTTCTGCCCTTCTTGCAGGATGAAAATGGAACTGCTCCAAATTAGACGGGGAGCCAAACAATTGGAGCAAAGATGTAACTCAAGAACGGCCAATTCTAGGAAGAGACACCAGTGTGCCAATGGACCTTTTATATCTAATGGCAGTCAGCTTCTCCACCTCACATGTTGTTGTTTTTTTAAAAAAAAAAATGTTTTAAGGGGTTTAATTAAAATAAAGTAAGTGGAAAGTTAAGTTGTAGCAAAGCCAAAGGCCAGCTGATAATTCTGTCTTTCTTTGCAAGAATGTTGCTGGGATTGGTAAATGTTTGCTCTTAGGAAATTAAAATGAGGACAGGGAGAGGGGGTGATGGTTACACACCAGTGCTGTGTTTGAAAGCACATCCCCCTCCCCAGACAAAAATTAAATGGTAATAGACAGGAAAGGGCAAGGGTTAAGATCATCATTTGGCCTTATAGAACATCAAAGTGGGAAGGGGTCCCGACAGCAAGAACTAAGAAAGGAGCAGAAAAAGGCAACTTCCAGCCCTGCCTTCGGCACCGAAACCAGAGTTCAGCTAGAGAATAACCACCCTCGCCCCAATAAATAAACCAGGTTCCAGAAACCACACTGTCTGGCTTCACACAACCAGATAACTTGCAAACAACATTGCGGAGAAATGGGTAATGCCTAGTTCTACTCCATCTGGATTCACACAACCAGGTAACCTGCAAACCGTTGAGGAGAAATTAAGCCAACTGATGTGGATTCACAGAACCACATAACCTGCAAGCCACGTTGGGGACAAAGGGAACCCCACTTGGGTAACACATGTTCCGCACTGTCTGGATTCACACAATCAGATAACCTGCAAACTATTGGGGAGACAGGGAGACAGCTGATGTGGATTCACAGAACCACATAACCTGCAAACCACGTTGGGGACAAAGGGAACCCCCGCTTGGGTAACACCTGGTTCCGCACAGTCTGGATTCACGCAACCAGATAACCTGCAAACCACGTTGGGGACAAACGGAACCCCGCTTGGGTAACACCCGGTTCCGCACTGTCTGGATTCGCACAACCAGACAGCCTGCAAACCACATTGCAGAGAAAAGCCAACTTCCAACCCTGCCTTAGGCACCGAAACCAGACTTCAGCTAGAGAATAACCACCCTCGCCCCAATAAATAAACCAGGTTCCAGAAACCACACTGTCTGGATTCACACCACCAGATAACCTGCAAACCACCTTGCGGAGAAAGGGACCCACCCCCCCGTTTGGGTAACACCTGGTTCCGCAGCTGCGTCTGGATTCACACGACCAGACAGCCTGCAAACCACCGTTGCGAGGAAAGGGAGCCCCCGCGACCCCCTCCTCCCAAATAAGACCCTCCGCTCCCCCTCCTCCCCAGCAAACCCCCCCCCCGGCGAACCCACAAACCTGCTGGCTTCTCCTGCTTCGCGGGCGGGAGGCGGCGCGGGTCAGCAGCTCCTCGTTGCGGAAAAGCCCGGCGGTCGGGATCCCCCTTGCTCGCCGGAGCCAGCCGGGTGGGGCGGGGGAGGCAGGGTGGTTCCCACCGCCCGGCGGAAGCGGAACGCCCCCCCTCCCTCCTTCAGCCCCTGGACTGCGGGGGCTGCTGCGGCTGGCCGAGGCGGGGGCCGCGTTCGCCCGTGGGGGGCAGCCGGGACGAAGAGGACCGTGCCTTGTGGGAGCGCAGCCTCGCGGCTCGAGTTGGCAACACCTGGGCTGCGTTCACACGTGACCGAATGCCCCAGCTCCTCCCCAGGTGTTCCACTGCGGGCCAAAGGAAGATTTGACCTATTGCGTTCTCTTTTTGGGGGGGGGCGGTTTAAGGTGAACCTGGCTTGGCTTATTTCTGATTTGGTTTCTGTGCATCTGGGCAGTTGAAGTCCATCAGTCCAAGTGCCACTCTGGGAAACGGGCTCGTTTAATAAGCCAAACCAAGATCGTGCACAAGGTTTTAAGTTTCCTCTGCCACCGTGGTAAATATGAGTCAGTTGTCAAGCATCCGAATGTAAATCACGTGACCCTGGGGATGCTGCAAAGGTCGTAAGTGTTAAAAGCGGTCGTAAGTCACTTTTTTCAGTGCCGACGTAACTTTGAACAGTCACTAAATGAACTGTTGTAAGTCGAGGACTACCTGGAGGTCTCTTAGAAGGTGGGATTCTCTTAAGACAGGCCAAGCAGAAATTGCAAAGAAATGGAAAAGTTTTTCCTTTAAACCTCAATTCTTGTTTTTAAGTTACAGTGGCTTATGACTGGATCATGCCCAGAGTCTTGCAAAAGGAGTGGAAGTGATGTCACAGGCATCATGACATCCTTGCAAATGTTGTAGTGTCATTATGTCCTGGATCTGCTACCAGTGGCTCCATGCTAAATCAAATCATGGTTTATTGGCTCGTGGCTTAGCACTCTATGCTTGCTGCAGCAACTATGGTTTGCAGCTAGCCATAATGCAGGAGGCTAGTCAACTGTGGCATGTATCTTATGTAACAAGCCTTAGATTTCAAAAACCAGTGTCCCAAGAGAAGCTTCAGTGTGTCATTTTTTAACAGTTTGTAATGTGCTACTGTAATTTGCAATTAAATAAAAGGTACAAATAGAGAATTAAAGCATCAGTACAATATTAGCATGCATAAACATGGCAAGAAAAAAATTGAAAAGGGAAGCCAGGGGCAAAAGTCTGGAAATTGTTTTTAAAGAATTTCAAAAACCTTTAAGCATAATTCTCCTTTGAATTATTCTTGTTAAAGTGGGAGCAACCAACACATCATCCACAGGTAGATTTCTCTCTCCAGTACTCGTAAGAATTTTTTTAGCCTGAAAAAAAGCACTGTTCTTGACATTGGAGATATAGCAAAAAAAAGTGTGTATTTTTATTATGCAGTAGTCAATCCATAAAGTGCGTATAGTCAAGGCCGTGGTTTTCCCAGTTGCAATGTATGGCTGTGAAAGCTGGACCATAAGAAAGGCTGAGTGCCAAAGAATTGAGGCCTTTGAACTCTGGTGCTGGAGAAGACTCCTGCGAGTCCCCTGGACTGCAAGGCGTTCAAACCGGTCAGTCCTAGAGGAGATCAACCCCAACTGCTCTTTAGAAGGCCAGATCCTGAAGCTGAAACTCAAATACTTTGGCCACCTAATGAGAAGGAAGGATTCACTGGAGAAGAGCCTCATGCTGGGAAAGATGGAGGGCGACAGAAGAAGGGGACGACAGAGAATGAGGTGGCTGGAGGGAGTCACTGAAGCAGGAGGCGTGAGCTTAAATGGACTCCAGAAGATGGCAGAGGACAGGAAGACCTGGAGGAACGTTGTCCATGGGGTTGCAATGGGTCGGACACGACTTCGCAATTAACAACAACGTCAATCTGTAGAAGGGATGAGCAATTTTCTCAGCAGGTCCACATGAGAAACTGGGTTCAGGAAGGGCTGAATTAATAGGTCTATGAAGGTGCATAAGCATGCATACAAGCACATATGTAAATTAAAAAAAAAAGTAGGCTTCAACATAAAAGCAATTCACACAGGCCAGACAAGGGTTGCCAAAGGGCTGGATGTGGTCCAAGGGCCATAAAATGCTCAGGTTTGATCTAGAGTCACCATCTTGTTAATGTCAGCCCAAAACCTGACACAGGACATGACCAAACCATGTGGGTTAATATGCCAATTCTATTAAAGTTCAGAAAATAAATCACCCAGTGTCAGGATGCTTACTCCCAAACCAATGTAACAACTGTTGCGTTGGTGAGGCTGGACCAGGCCTGGCATACCAAAATAAATTGAAACAAAGCCTAAGTTGCAGAAAGACATTCGGGAATAGAGGGCACAACAGCTGGTGGAAAATCCCTTTGACCATATAAAGGACACCAGCTGTTTCTGCCACCATCTGGTGCTAATTGGAATACATAGATTTGAGGGGTTATCATTAGTATATGATTGTAACATTAGCTGAGTTAACGAATAAGTGCAGAGGTTGCATTACGGTTCAGGACATACTTATGTGCCTATTAGTACTTACAGCAGGGGTCTTCAGACTTGGCCCTTTTATGACTTGTGGACTTCAACTCCCAGAATTCCTGGCTGAGGAATTCTGGGAGTTGAAGCCCACAAGTCATAAAAGGGCTAAGTTTGAAGACCCCTGACTTAAAGGATACATTTTGCACTTCTAAGCCTGGACTTCTAAATTAAACATCGAGCTTTCTTAAGGAGGATCTTTGAGGTGTCAATTTGAAAGGATCTCGGAGACTTCTCATTTCATCCAACTAATCTATTAAAATATAATCCTAAAACTGACTTCAGTGTGTTGAGTTTCCTTGCATTCATACCTTTATTTACAACTTTAGAAGCAGTTTTTTTGTAAAGTGAGTAAGGGGACAAAAGGAACATTGTCTTGTATAATAAAGAGAGGTTCTGTAAATGCTTTTAAATCGGTGTTTCTCAAACTTCAAAATATATGGACTTTGACTCTCAGAATTCCACAACCAGTATGGTCAGTAATAATTCTTCTTGTCTGTCCAACCACTTTGCAAAGGAGAACACTGTCTATGGAGATTCTCAATCATCCAGGTCAGGGTTGTCCATGAAAAAGCATCTTTGGGAGAAAACTATCTTGGACTCTTCTCATTTGGAATTAGTAGATCTGGGCTGCAGAATTCCTGCCTGAGCAGGGGGTTGGACTAGATGACCTCCAAGGTCCTTTCCAACTTTATTATTTATTTATTATTATTTATTATTTATTTATAATTGCCCAACCAGCATTTGCCAAACATTGCCATTAACAGCATCTTTTTCTCTCAGGCTGAAGTTCGTGACCTCAACAATTTAGTGGCCACATTTGGGCTGTAGTTTGTCTACCCCGATATAAAAGGGCTCTCCGTGTGAACACCTGGTGGTCCTCTCCAGCCAGTTTGGGATTATTTCTTTCGTTCCTCCTTTTGTTTCTTCTTTGGTCAAAGTCTCAAAATGGTAATGCAAAGTTTCCTCCACTAAGCGTCAGCCTTCTCTCTGTGAAGGAAAGAGAGGGCAGTCACAGCCCCAAGTACAAGTTTAACTAATAAAGGAAATGGTCTTTTTTTTTTTTTTTGTAGGCTTATTTGCAGACTTCAGTACATTGTTTATTTAAACAGTTCCAAATCCAGGCAGTTTGCATTGCTGATTCATTTGCATTTGCTAACCCAGCAACATGCTGTTAATGGATGATTAAACGAAACCCCTGGGCTTCCTTTATTTAGTTCTTATTATAAACTGCTCTGGAGTATGTAACTTGGCAAATCATTCATTCCGTATCCCACCCACCAGACATCCCAATTTCCCAGTCCATTTCTAGAATAACTGGAGTTCAGTTTCATTCATTCCGAAACCTGATTTTTGCAGCCCTAAAGGACGATTGAAAGACTCAACCCGTGCTTAGTGGAAGAGAAACATCTGGAATAAAGCCTAGGTATTAATAAGGAAGAGCTGAAGAGCTTCATTCCACCTGCATTAACTCACAGAAACCCATTTGTTGTTGTTAATTGCGAAGTCGTGTCCGACCCATCGCGACCCCATGGACAACGCTCCTCCAGGTCTTCCTGTCCTCTACCATCTTCTGGAGTCCATTTAAGTTCGCACCTACTGCTTCAGTGACTCCATCCAGCCACCTCCTTCTCTGTCGTCCCATTATTCTATTGCCCTCCATCTTTCCCAGCATTAGGCCCTTCTCCAGTGAGTCCTTCCTTCTCATTAGGTGGCCAAAGTACTTGAGTTTCAGCTTCAGGATCTGGCCGTCTAAAGAGCAGTCAGGGTTGATCTCCTCTAGGACTGACCGTTTTGATCGCCTTGTTAAAGTTAATTAGTTAAGTGAATCACTGCCATTGTTAAGTTAGCAACATGGCTATTCAGTGACTCTGGCTGTCCGATTGACTTGGCTTGATCACTTGACTCCGGGACACTGAAACCGCTACAAATATGAGTCAGTTGCCAAGGGTGGGAATTTTGATCATATGACCCTGGGGATGCTGCAGTGGACATGAGTGTGAAAAATGGTCCTAACTTTTTTCAGTGCTGTTGCGACTTTCAATGGTCACTAAATGAATTCCTGTGTAGGTCGAGGATTACTGTATTGTTTTACATAGTAAGCAGCTTTGCTATTGTCCATTTACTGAAAGCTCTAACCTCAGTTAGAGGGACAAACAGCCTGACACAACAGCCAGCTTTCTACATTGCTACCAATCCAATAATTAGGTGATTCCCTGTGGTTTTTTTCTCCCAAGTCTTGGCTGCCTTTTCCATTTCATAAAATGATTAATGGTTTCATTAAGTTCTGGCTCATGGATGTGTTAAAGCAAAGAGAGAGGGAAAAAAATAAGATTACAATGAAAGGTGTGACAGCCACTCAGGCAAAAGGCTAAATCTGGGTTGCCAAATAAAATGTGGGCTTTTAAATTGTGCAGCATCTAACATCAGGCAAGGCAGCAATGGTGTCTCTCAACCCCTATATGTGCTTAAGTCTTTATTCCCATTCCTGCTCTGTCAAACCATGGTTTCTTTTACATTCTGGTTATCGTAGGAGAGGCAACTTTCACTAATCCAATGAAACTTGAGGAACTGTGCTTCTGAAGGCTGTGGCTCCCATTAAGTTGTTTTGAGCGTAAGTAATATGGGGTGGGGGGTCACCAGATGTGGTTTGTCCAAATCCAGATGAAAGAGAAATAGAGCCAGTTTGGT